GCCACTGCCAATCGCCATCCCAAAGTTGTCAAGATGCTTCTTGATGCAGGCGCAAAGCAGGACGATGCCAAGAAAGATGGGACAACAGCTTTGCACCTGGCAGCTACCAGTGGCGACATTGACGTTGTACAGCGGTTGCTTGCGTTTGGAGCAAACCCAAACAACTATGCAGTTGGTCATGGAACAGCCCTGCATTTGGCAGTCGAAAACGGTCACTTCCGAGTTGTCCGTTGTTTGCTCCAGGCAAAGGCCGACAAAGACGAGGTCAGGGGTGATGGGACATCAGCTTTGCATTTAGCCATTGATTTGTTCAATCTCAAGATTATGAGGTTGTTGCTAGAATTTGGTGCAAACACAGACTCTGCGAGCGTTACTGAAGACGGTAAAACAGTTCTGCATGTGGCAGTTTGGAAGGGGTGCCCAGAGATGGTGGGGGCGTTACTGAAGAGGAAGGCCAACACTGACATCGCTGATACTGCTGGCTTGACAGCTTTGCATGTGGCAGCTCAATGTGGCTGTCTACGAGTTGTGCAGATGTTGCTCAATGCCAGGGCGGATACAGACAAGATCACTCGTGATGGGACAACAGCTTTACATTTTGCCGCAGCCAGTGGCCACCTGCAAGTGCTTCAGCTCTTGCTTGACCGTGACGCAGACAAAGACATGATCAGATTGGATGATGGTCAAACTGCTTTGCACACAGCAAGTGAGAATGGCTATGCAACAGTTGTCAAGATGCTTCTTGAAGCACGGGTGAAGAAGGACAAGGCTGCCATGGATGGGACAACAGCTTTGCACTTGGCAGCTTGCGAGGGCCACATTGAAGTTTTGTACTGGCTGCTACTGTTTGAGGTAGACACAGACATGGTTAGACTGGATGACGGCTACACTGCTTTGCACCTAGCAACCGCAAATAATCATCCAGAGATTGTGAGACTGCTGTTGGCCTTTGGAGCCGACACAAACCAGAATACAAGAAATGGGCAATCTGCCCTGAATCTTGCGAGTGAGCTGAGCAATTTGGACATTCTGCATCTGTTGCTGACGGCAGGCGCAAACACAACAAAGTCTTTGCACTTTGCAGCTGAAAAGGGGCACCTTGAGGCTGTTGAGATGCTGTTGAAGGCTGGTGCAAACAGCAGCGAGACTCGAATGGAGGATGGGGCAACAGCCTTGCACTTTGCAGCTTTCCATGGCCACCTTGACATTTTGCGGCTTTTGCTGGAACATGGGAGAGAGAAAGATTTTGCTATGAAGAATGGTGCAACTGCTTTGCACTTGGCAGCTTGCAAGGGTCACTTGGAAGTTGTGCAGCTCTTGTTGGACTTTGGAGCAGATGCAAAGAAGATCACAGCGGATGGGTTGACCGCTTCGCAAGTGGCAGCTGCCAGTGGCAACCACCGATGCTGGTCCATTTTGGCATCCAGATCTGGACTGTTGACGGACGCCCAAGCCTAAGAGTCCGGACTTGTGCGACCAACTGGGCCTGTACATCAGACTTCGCCCATCGCAGACTCAACAGGGCCCGGTGTTGGGTCCTTTTTGGTCGGCCTCTCTTGCGCTCCGCTGTGTGCTGTGCTTCGATGGGAAGACAGCTGCTTACGCAGCAGCACGGCGGATCTACGCCGAGGCAGAAAAGTGGTGACCACCTGCAGGTAGGTGAGGCTCGTGTTTTCCCCCAATCTATCTTACCCATCCGAACCCTACCTTCAACACAAGAAGGTGTACCAAAAAGGCCCCAGTGTCGAACCATTGGTTCTTGGCGAAACAGATGGTTCTTGGCTGGCAGACCACCAAAACTGTTTCATGAGCCACACATCGTGGAAAAGGATGGACGCCCGTCAACCCCTTTCTCCCGGGTTGACGGGAGAAACCCCTTCAGCCGGTGCAAACGGGGTGCAAAAGCCTGAGGGGCTGGAAGGAGGAGGAACAGCCAGGAGACTCCGGGCGCATTTTGGACTAAGACAAACTGCATGACTGGAATGAATGATACTCGCAAATGACATGGGATCCTCCCAAACAGCTTTTTGAAGTGAGGATCGAAGAGTGAATGGAGTTTCGAAGGTCCAAAGGACCTGAAACAATGAGCGGCGGATGGAGGGCCCCAACTCGACGCCGCGGGCGTTCTCGACCGCGGGAACGCCGTCCTCGGACGTCCTCGCCGCCGCGCATGGATCGGTGAAGGGAGTCGGGCCGTCAGTCGAAGTCGGTGCAGGCTATACGGGCATTTGGGCGCAAAGCCTCATTAGCGCCACCAGCACCTTGGAGGATTGGGCGCTGGCCGGAGGACCTGGGTGTGTTTTTGGTGGGTTTCCCCGCTACAGAAGCCCCACGGACAACGGGTTTCCTTGTCATGGGGAGTTCCGGTGGTGGTTCAGAAACGGTTTGTTCATCGGTCTTTTTCGTCCGAGATGCAAGTTGGTCTTTTGTTTTCTATACGAGGGATGTGGGGTTTTATTGTTTTTTTTTCCATGCCTTCGTGAGCCAGAGCATATAAATATGGTCTCTTTCGGATCCAATTAATAAGACTATTAACTAGAAGCTACTAGGTGGAGGTCATCGCTATTAGATTGGAGGCCATCGCTACTAGTATAACAATAAAGGTTTTTAGTATGTCCATGTCGTTGAAGCTACTAACCAGGACCTTCAGTACGTGACCTCTTTGGAGTCTCTAAGTGACCTCTTTAGGGACTAAGTGACCTCATTCTAGGATCTCAAAAGGTCACTTGGAAGGTCCTGGAATGTATGATTGGATGTTGGGGGAGACCCTACATAGTTTTCAGAATCGATCAGATCAGAATCGGTTCTGCAGACCTCTCCAGCGCGCAAGCAGACCTGGTTCGGCAGAGAAATCGGAGCGATCCACGGCCGAGCATCCGGTTTCTGGTGCGTTTCCATGCTGAGAAAGCACCAGCACCACCCTTTATTGGAGTCGTTATTGGTTAATAATTGGTTATATTGAATGGGAAAAAACTTCCATCTTCAGGGGGTCTATACACCACCCGTTTGCATCACCCTTCCGAATCACTGCATGAGTGGAGAGTTCGCTTCAGCAGCCTGGTGGCTCTCCAAAGCGATCAGGTCTCACTAGACTACCGGGATCCACAGGAATCCACCGGCGAGGGAGGAATCGTCTCCTTCTCAGCTTGGAATCCGAAACCGAAGGAGTTATGGATCTTTCCCCAGTCCCAAGCCATTTTCCTATATCTGTCAAGGATTTCAAGCTGGCGCCATGTTGGAGCAACCAGCACTCGTTCCGCAATCCGCTCCGCCATCCGCTCCGAGGTTTCCTGGTGATGGTCAACGCCAACAAGTTCGTCATCATCGGCATCGAAGCCTTCGGCATGCAGACCAAGGCACCTGGGATCCCGTCCCAGTTCGGCACGTTGACCAACAGACCATGTCCGGCGCATCGGACGCGAGTCCTCCGGACCAGCGCGCCCGAAAAAGGCAGCTCAAAGCCATGAAAAGTAACCGTGTTCGACAGAAATAAAGGCTGGGTTTTTTGGGGCTCGGGAAAAACATGGGTTTTTACAGCTTTGTGGGGGTTTTCCGGTAACTGATGCTTTTCTTCTCCGAGCCACGCAGCTGGAACGTGGGGCCAGAGGTCTCACCAGGGTCGGCTCCGCAGGTCTTGACCACGGTGCAACTGCTGGGCGCCACGATCTCGATCCTGGGCGGCGTGCTGTACGGTAAGGCCCGACAGGCCATCGAAGAGGTGCGCCCGGTGCGGTCGGGCACGGCCCGCTCGCGGGCGGGTGAGGGTGCGGGTCGGACAGTCCAGGTGCTCCTGATAGTGCTCGTGGTCGAACAAGTTCGGATCTTTTTCGGGTTCGGGTGGGGCAGTGATGGTGCCTGGGTTTGTTTGCAAGTTTAGGTTGAGCAGGTGAGAAGGGCATCTGAGGCGGGTAATCAGGTTTTTTCGTTGGCCGTTCTTGGAATGGAGATGAAATCTGGTGACTCGGTCACTGTGATCGCAGATGGGACGAGTCATGACGAGTCACTAGTCGACTGCCTTTTTCATGCTGGAGTCCCTAATTCACCACGTCGAACTTGAACCAAGGAGCGACTCGAAGTTCGCAGATTGGATGCGGAGGGGACTCAACACGCAACTCCCCATGAGTGGTGCTCTCCGTGGTCAAATTCCACAGTTCTTAGACCCGTGAAGGGTTTCCATCGGAATTCTGGCCACACAACCGCGCCAACGGTAATTACAGGTAATTGAACTCTGTGGGGGTGCGCAAGCGTGCGCATAAAGTCAAAGTTCCTCCTTGGTCTTGCACAGGAAGCAGATGAGAAGAAGAACTTGCTCCCCAAGGACGTCCCCAAGGCCGTCTGAGCCACTCAGATCGTCCAAAACGAGATGGTGCTCGCGCAAAAAAGGGGATTCAACGTGTGCGCTGAAGAGACTGAAAGGGCACCGGGGCTTGGCATGGACCTTGGGAGGAGTACTTGCCTTTACAACCCAGTGGTTTGGGGGTTCCATGTTAATCTGCAGGGGATCATGTTTGTGTGTGTTTGAGGGTAGCTGGAATAGATAGATCAACTTCTCATGGAATGAAGATCGAACTGAGGCTCAATAGAGGGAGTTCTGACCAGCATTATTTCTTCTTGCAAAGAAGGAAACTCCACTCTAATCATGCTGTCCGTGGTAGCAAGATGACTGGCTGGCCTTGCTGTTTGAGCGTCAGAGAATTCGAGACTCGCTGAGGTTAGCAGGTGTTCGAGATGGTTTCACATGACTCAATTTGCTTTGCGTTCAGCAGCAAAGGCCCAGAAGCGGTTGTTTCATGGACGAAGCAGAAGCTGGCAGTGTTTCCTGTCAAAGATGCTCCGATATGTAGAAGGACCTACGCAATCAATGAGAAACGCACAGGCCGTAGTGAAGTTGCGACTTGGAGCTGACATTTCGGCATAAGCCAAGAAGATGGAGACCCTCCAACCGGGTTCAGGCTGTAGTGCATCTTCGAACATGTCGAACTCGGACCCAAATTACTTTCCCTGCCTTTGTAAAGGGAGGAACTTCAAACCATTGCCCGGTCGATACGTCCTCAAGGACAAGCTAGAAGATGTTGTCTAAGGTTGTTTGGTTTCTGCACGTTGCATCCCTATAATCACCATTGGACAGATTGCAAACGTCTTTCAAGGTCTTTGGCTTGATTGCACAAGAAAAGCACCATTCACAGCAAAGATGGGTGGAACCTTACAAAAGAAATCCATGTGCACACATGTGCACACATCATTTGGAACCGAAATGAACCCCATCTCAACGGAAAAAGGTCCTCCACGCACAATCCGCTCACACACAGTACACCCAGACACACACACTGCTCTACCGGATCACCGGTTTTCCTCCCCGCGCGCCTTATCTGGTTTGTGATCCCCGTCCGCCCATGGATCACCCGTTCCGCGCTTCGGCAGTTTTCGCTCTGCGTCGGTCGGACCGATGTGATGGTTTCGTCTGTCGGGGTGGTTTGCGTCGGTCGATGCAAGGGGTTCGTCGGTCGGGTCTGGGGAGACCATGGGGAGACCCCATGTAAGGTCGAGACCAGCCCTCCAAGACAAATCAAAGGCGAGGTTCCCGAAAGCTAAGTTGAAGAAAATATAGACTCACCAGAAATGAGAAAGCCCGAAAATACCGGGCTTGGCGCATGTGAACGCATGTGAATCCTCGCAAGCAGAACTCGGTCGCTGCGAGATTCCTCACTTCGTGACCCAACTTTGGAGTCCACGACCGAACTTTCACGCCATCCCTAGGGTGACCGGTCAGCCACCAGGGATCAAGCTTGGTCACGATTAGCTGCTCACACGGCTGTGTATTGGAACTTCGTGTGAGCAGCTGTAGCCCTTTTTTTGAGCCGGTGGCCCCTTTGCGTGCCCCCCATTCTTGCTAGCTGTTCTTGTACAGTAGCTATCCAGTTTGGGTGGTACAGAACTCCCCGAAATAAGTCATATATAGACTCTGGCACGACAAACAGATCAACACAGAGAAGTGCCTGAAGTGCCTGGTTTTGAGCGGTTTTCAGGTGATGCGAATTCGTTTGCCCCAACTGGGTCAATGCTCTGGCATGAGGAATACATGATGAATAAGTGTAATCAATTGTTTTATAGTTCCTTTTTCCAGAATGTGTGTTTTTGGAAGGTCCTATCGACCTCATTCTCGTGCTGCTCTTTGCTTCGACCTACCTCCCACAGATCTGGCAGAAAGTTGCAGCAGATCTGGCAGAAATCGACCGGAGTCTCGGTTCGATGCTTCGACTATGCGCGATACTCAACTCGACTCCAGATCCATTCCAGATCAGCGTTTTTCAAAGATTTCAACAGCAACCAGGCACATCCAACAGGCTCCCATTTGAAGCCTGTTAGACATAAAGACCATTAAAAGCCTGTTAGGATGTTCATGTATATTGAACTTCTGTGTTTTGGTGTTCAGGTAAAAATCAGCACATCCGAGTAGCGTCCCTTCTCCAGCAGTTCCAAAGGGGTGCACATTATCCACTCGTTTAGGGACTATTTCATGGAACATGTTGGCGTGTCTACTTAGCAGAATAAGCACTGACCAACAACTTCCTTCAGGATTGGCTTGGTCCTTCTGAACATCCAAGTTGTGGTCGGTCTCGGCTGTGGCTGGGCTTGCAGTTTGTCGCGCTGGTGGGACCTTGAATTGAATCTTGATCAGGAGTTTTGGACATGAAGGAGTCAGACTCTTCCACGGTGTTGGGTCATGATGGACATATCATGGACACCAAAACAAAACTTGAACGTACTCACCCAGACACGCGACCCTGGACCCTCCGTTCAGTAGGGGCCGTACCTTCATATTATTGAGGGGGCCGAACCCTCAAATCCTATGGTCTTGAGTGACCAAGGCATGTGAACGGAGCGTTTGGGCATCATAAATTTCTATGTGGTTCATGCTTCACCATTGGTATTTCCCTTCCATTGCTTGCCTTTGGGAAGCAGATGTTCAGTCCGAAGGGCGAGATGATCAAGTCTCCCTACGTAAGTTCAGTCTAGACCCAGCTCCAGTCTCCTGGTCAAGCTTACCTCCTTTTTCGTATTTTTTTTTTGGTCTGCACCACGTCCAGTATTTCATGAGGTCCGTTCCTGACAGACCTGTAGGGATATTCATAGACCAACAGCATCCTGAGCCCAAACTCGAAGTCCAGATTTTTGGACCGACTGAAGCGGAAATCCCTGAACTCGGGTCACTTCCAGACCATTCTTTTTGCTGTCGGATTTTTAGGGTTTCTATAGTCTGACCGGAGGTCACTTCCTGGACGGGTCTGAATCCACCGATGTCGTTGAGCGGGTCACTCAACCAATTCACCCTGTGAAGTCGAAAGGCACCAGAAAATGGACTCAAACCAGGGCCCCCTGTGCCAGGGGTGGTTTTCACGGACACCCCGAATCACCTCTTGGTCGGAGCTGTGATTGGACACCGGCCTAAAGGGGGCTCCAGGAACTCGCTGGTTTGGAGTCCTTCTTCCATGTTTACTATGCTGTTTGATGCTCAACCCTGTGCCCCCAGCACAGTTGAGCATCATGGACGGCTTGCTCTTCCCTCCAGGGTGGCTCCGCTTGACTTTGATGGGCCCGGTCGAAATGAAGACGGCGAAGCGCTGGAATTCGCGCGTCCTGGACACTGCCGTGGCGGAGGTGGACGACAACGAGGGCAGCTGGGATCGGATAAATCAGCATGGATTACATATTAGCTTTCGGTCCGCCTCCGAGACTGATAGACTACTTTGAGGAATCTGTTCATGGTTTCACTGAGTCAACCAATATGTTGCGAGCTTTTGACCCGGCAATATCTGGGTGTATGTCTAGCATCTATCTATGCAGTCAGACACCCGAACTCTCGCCTCTCGCCTCGAGAGCCCCTGGGTCGACCGGTGGTTCGATGATGCGAGCTGAACCCCAGTGGGTCGGGTCGAACTGGGTGGTCTCCCTATATGGACCATAGACCTGGATCATCCTGTAGTAGCGGTGTCCTGTTTGGACACCTGGGATGCTATAGCCCTAGGTTTAGTCCAGCCAAGACACCCCTAGGGTCCGGATGGTCCAGGTACCAGTCGACCCAGCTACCGAAGGCGAGAGAGATAGAACGCTCCATATCCATGGCCAGACGTCGAAGACCGGACCCAGGTCTAGTCGAACTGAGTCGAACTGACTTCCTTTGTCGTAAGCGTTTGTGTGTGACCAACTCCAGTATTTCATGAGCTCATTGGCTTGAGGGTGTTTACAAGAACAGAGATGGAAAGGCCTGCAAACCGAAGCATCATCATCCAAAACGGGCCTTGGATGACAAGGATAGTTTCATACACATCCATATGATGCTTCCAGCACATCTCTTTCGGGATTGGAGCTGGAATTGAAAAATGATGAGACTGCATGGTGATTCTATATACATAGCTTTCTTACTTGGTGTCCCTCTCCGGCCTTTCTCCTTGCCAAAAATTTCCTGTGGGTGATTGGTGCCTACAAAGAATGGGTAACCTGTTCCCTTCAATCAGAAATCGCCAGACATGTTGGCTTCACTTGAGAAAAAAAACAAAAGAAAGTTCACTCTTCCTCTCCCGTCCACTTTTTTGGCATCTGAAGACTGTCCCCTTCTGCGGTACAGCTGGAGTCCTGCAGGACGTTTTGTTGGTTCACCATGTTTTGCAGCTCAGCTCAGGCTTTCTCAGCATGATGATCCTTTCGGCGGTCACCTGGTTACTGGCTTCCATCGCTTATGTGCTGGGCACGGTCATCGATGTCTTCTTAGAACTGCTCCTGGGCGCTGAACCACGTATGTTTCGCACGTGGGTGTGCATGAAAGTTAGCAAGACCTTTCACGCCCATGGGTTCCAGCAGCACCCAGTTCGGGTAGTTTATAGAACCCCCCTGAAAAGGTGTGTTCCAGGACCTTCAAAGTGACCTCTTTGGAGTCTCTAAGTGACCTCTTTAGGGACTAAGTGACCTCATTCTAGGATCTCAAAAGGTCACTTTGAAGGTCGTGGTACATGGGATTTATTTGGGAAAGGTTTCTTGAAGAACCACACTTCTCCGGCCCGCGGTGTCAAAGCTTCTTGGTCTGACCCACGGCCTTGGTTGGTTAAGTGATGGGAAGGCGAGAACCCCAAGGCGTACTGAAACCGGGGTGCAAAACCCGAAAAGCCCTTGGGTTGACCCCGGATCCTGACATTGACAGGTGTAACAGCTAGGTCTAGGTCTTCCGAAGAGTGTTGGGACGGACTTTTCTGGATCGCTGGACAAAGCAGCTGTTGAGATACCTGGCTGATAGGCAAAAGAAGTCCTGCGAGTTTTGAGTATGGAAAAAATGATGAAAAATTAATGTGTGTTTGTTCATTAAAGGCCAGGGCCAGGTGTTCGTTAGCAAAACACACGGTTCTTGCATGTGAAAAAAACATGGAAAAACACATTCTTAAGTTCATCAGAGCCACAGCTGACAGCTGCGGGCTTTTCTGGATGGATCGGGGTTTGGATTAGGAGGGGATTTCCTGGGAAAAACTTGATGTGATCTCCGTTTCCATTGGGAAATTGGTTTGGATTGGTTTGGATGTGATCTTGGGAAAACCTTGATGTGATCTCAGTTTGTGACATTGGGATGCCCATTCGACTGTGATGCCTTTAAGCTTCTGACACAGCTCCCTGCGCCGAAAAATGGCTGCCACACCGGTTTTACCGCATGACTAAATGGTCAGACTCAACTGTTGGGCCACCGACCAAACATGCCAAATCAATCACGCATCTTCTTCAGTTTGCAACTTGGTTGAGGCCTAAGCTTCTTTTTGGCGAATAGGAATGGCTCTTCGAAGGGAAGCACTACAACCCGTCCTGGCTCCTACGTAGTAGCGTCCTTGTTCCTAGTAGTAATGGCCTCCAACCTAATAGTGATGGCCCCCCCTACTAGCGATGGCCACCACCTAATAGCTTCTAGTTACTAGAAAGCTTCAAAGACCTACTAGTAGCTTCTTGCTCCTAGTAGTGATGGCCTCCCCCTATTAGCGTCCTTGTTCCTACAGGCCTGTTTGTCTTTGGTCACAGACTTCCAAAGTTTGGTCACAAACTTCGCTCGCACCGAACAGCTTCTTTTTGCGAGCATGCGTCAACCTGGGCCCCCTAAGGGGTGTCTAGAGGTGATGGGGCCCTGGAATAGCCCCTGTATCTCGGGCGTTCCTTCTCATTTTCTGGTCCGGTACAACTTTTTTATCTCCAACCACCGCGCGCTCCGCAGAGTTCTAAGGCTCCGAATGACGGTCTTCCTGCTGCCCTTTGGTCTTCTTCTGGGGTGCCTGGGCCCCAATTCAGCAGCCGGCGACCAAACGCCGGCCGACCGACGACCGGATCAGCTGCGGGTCTTCCCGGTCCACGACCCTCCGTTGCTCGGAGGTCCTGAAAGACCCCCCAAGACACGACCATTCGACCTGGTTTCGTACGAAGACCTCCGGCAACGACCAAGACCGTGGCGTTTTCCGGAGGTACCTGGGACCCGAACCTGGTACCACGAAAAAAGAGGAACAGCTGCACCCCACTCATCACCGGAACAAAGCGGAGTGCCAAGCATCGTTACGAACGTCCTCATTGTCCTGGTGGTTGTTGGAAATGGTTGATTGAAAAAGAAAGACCCCTTCTGATCTGGTCGGATTCATTTGCCGGATTGGGTCATGTCATGTCATCCCTTATGTGGGCAAAATCTCTGGAGAAGTAATCTTTTCCGTTTTCGTAATCGAATTGATTGGGTCGCCGCCCGCTGAGCAGATACCTTTGGCGCTTTCTACCGTCCCAACTGCTGCAAACAGCGCTGCCCACACTGGGGCGAGCAGGCACGGAGCAAGGTCGAAACAGATTTTTCCAGGTTGCGATGTGCAGCCAGGCATTTCCTCATGAGTGGCAGTAAAAACTATCCCATAGGGTCCAGGTACCTCCTGAGGATGGTCTTGGAGGACATCCTCAGGATGGTCCTGGACCCTTAGGGTATAGAATATCATATTGACAAGCTGATGGTTGTCGGAAGATTTGGGTAGACCTATAGTCAATAAAGCTGATGACAGTTGCTGATATGTTCATGGATTTGTTTCTTTGGGAATCTTTGAGGTTGCTTGCTGTAGTCTACAGTTCGTTCAGCGGATCAATATGGGGGAACTCACCAACCAAATAGATCTACTGTATACCAGGAAATGAGGTGTATTCAAATCCAATGCCTTGCCCTACCTACGCCCAGTCTGACCCAGGTCCAAACCTGGTCAAACTTACCTCCCTTTTAGTAGTGTTTTTGTATTGCTAACTCCAGCAAAATGAGCTCACTGACTTGTACTAGTAGGGTTATGATTGAGGAACTCATTTAGATCATCCACCCTGCACCATTGCCATGACCCTGCAACAGAGCTTCGATGGAGTGTGTGCCTACACCAAGCTAGCTTGGATCCATCGATGGCGCCAATAGATACGACCTTGGGTTGCTTGATTCGACCCTGGACTCCTCCAGTCGACTGTAGGCTTAAGACTGGTCCAGTCCTCCTCGCTGACCCGTAAACCTGCCAAAAAGCAGCCTTGTGGAGGGCGATCTTGGTGGGTTTGGGAGGGCGAAGGTGGGCCATCTTGCCAGTCCGGAGGGCGAAGGTGGGTGGGCCATCAGCTGTCTCTGTGCACCTGGCCTGCGTCCACTGCGACGTCTCCCGATGTTTTCTGGAAAGGAAGAGGTCCGGTCCCCTGCTTCTTGAACACAGCAGAGCAGCCCCTTGCTCCACCGAACTGTTGCAGAGGCTTCTTCTTGAGCATCGCCTTGCTCTACCGCTGCCTGGCCGTCTTGGGCGAGACACAGAGCTCAGAAACACGGCACCGGTGAGAGCGGTCAGGAGCACCAGGGACGCCAACCAGGACTATCCAAGGGGTGTCCAATAGACTACCCTACACACATGTTTATGGACCTCTATTGGATGGTCCAGCCATGTTCTTTTGGTTTCTGGTGTTGACTCTTTTGGATGTCCCTGAGACCTTGGTCAGAAGGATTGTTGCTAACATGTTGCTGATTTGCCAAAGATGCGGCGCGCGGGCTTGAACATAGATGCCAATCCAAGAACAATGATAGAAGTGCAAACCATTTCAGAAGACGGATTATTGTTTCTAACCTTCCTGAAGCGTCAGTTGACTTGGTGGTTGTTTGTCGTGCAAACTCACACCTAGTTGAAGACCAAACAACGGTTTGGTGTGGGGACATGAAAGCCGGTCCTCTTCACATCGCCTTGGCCAGTTGGACCGGTCGCAGAAGGAAGACATGTGTTTGGGCAGTTCTTTTGCAACAGATGCTCAATCAATCCACTGCCGGAGTCTTGGAGTTCCTTCCGGCAGTCTTTGGGCAGTTCCCAGCTCAATCCAAAACATGATGGGATCAACCCCCCTTGTCACATCCATCGGATGGGTGCCTCGCCTGTCACGGCCCCTTTCAGGCCACCCAAACTCCATGGAACTTCCGAAGCGTTGGCAAAACCCAGACGAGATGTGTCCCAAGCAACGAACCCGGTGAAGTGCGTCTTCGTCTTCTTTCTCTCCCAGACACGAGACACGACTCGTCTGGGACTGCCGGACTGCCGCCCCAGACAGACCCCGAAATGGCAGCACCCCTGGCCTGATCGGTCGATATACCAGTCCCATTAGTCGTGTCTGGGTCTAATTCGCCCGTCTTTCGAGGTGTCCTCTTCGGTCTCTTCGCTCGATCGGCGGGAACGACCGTGGAAACATGCGGTTTGGAAGACCGACGACTCGACGACCGATCCTTTTGGCGGATGGCTTTTGTATGCACCGTGGTATAGGTTGAACTATGGGTGTTCCGTTTGGCTTTGATCTGCAGCTATTCTGTGAACAACCAGCACCACCCAAAGAGTGGTTTAGAGACCCCCCGTGACTCCCTGACTATCTATAGTTTCATATATTGTCCATCTAATATCCACCCTTTGGTCTTTGGGTGGTGCTGGAAGTAGTCAGTTTGAAGTCCAAATTCTGCACGTCTGAGGAGACCGAGCAAGAGAAATACCTCCTCGCTTGAGAGAGACCCGACTTCGCGGGACGTCCAAAAGAACGCTTCTGGGGCCTCGTCCGTCGATGCTTTTGGGGCGCAGAACGATGTGTGAACCGATGCCCGCTGTGTGAACCGATGGAAGCTCCAAATGAGGGTTTTCCCTGCAGCGATTCGATGCTGAAGGGCGTCACTTGTTGACGCCAGGGTCGGCACCGAAATCGGATCCCAAGACTCAGTCCGTGGATCACCTGCCCAAACCAGGTAAAAGTGAGTTCGATATCACTTCGATGTTCCAGGGATCTCTTTTCAGGAGGCAGGTGCTATTTAGAACAAACAGAACATCTCCACAGACATCTCAAAAGAACCCTGTATTATGAACCTCAAATCTCTGAATCACAAGCGACCACAAACATCCACTTCCACCGAGCACCACTTGTGACGTTTGGTGACTTCCACGCGCGATCCGAACGGATGAAAACATCGTTCCCACCGAGCACCTCTCGCCCACGCGCCAGGTGATGTTCGCCACGCCGACGGAGCCTGCTGCTCGCGGCACAAAAGGGATGCGGCCGGGCGGAGCTGACGAGAAAAGAGGCAAAGGCTTGAAGGTCGGTTCCTCTTTTTCTTTGAAGGTCGGAGCTACATGCGCCGGAAGTGGGGGTGGAGCGAGCTTTCCATGTTCCCGGAGGTGCTTTCTTCCGCATCCACGGGTCCCTCGGTGCAGGTCTGTGACGGTCGGTCCATCGGAGTCCGCGGGAAGTCGGACATCGGTTGGGGGTGCGCATCGTACGTAGACCAAGTGAAACGAATGCCAAGGAAGCTTCTAGCTACTAGTAAGGGGTTACTAAGAAGCTTCAAAGACATACTAAAAGCTTCTTGTCACTACAGGTGAAATGATGCCCAGGTGAAACAATTCCCAGACGCTCCATGGGACTGCCATAGGACTGCCGATCAGTTGGGGTGGTGGTTTGGGGGGTCTGTCTGGGGCGGCAGTCCGGACTGGCAGTCCCAGACGGGTCGTGTCTGGGATTGACAGAGTTGAAGGACCCAAGTTCCGGATAGCTTTGAAGCCAAAGGAGTGGCATAAATCCTCACATCAATGAGTCGAGGGACCCCATTCAATACTTTTCTTATCATTTCTTGATATGTTTTGAAACATTGACTCACCTAGCGTTCCGTGGATCAACTAGATTTCTTGAAGCCATAGAGGATCAGCAGGCGCCTAGACAAACGGCACAATGATGGCATGTGAAGCCCAAAGAGGCTGCCCAACCCTTTACTGGCAAAACCCACCGATTCGACCATCAGCGGGAGGAAAGCGATGCAGCGATTCTTCTCCCTACCTGTTCCTCCCCACCTCGCACCACGCTTGACGCCCACGCTTCAACTTGGCGCCCCACCCACGGTGTTCACCCCCGGTGCCCACGGTGGAGTTGCGCCTGGAGTCGCGTCGCGGGAGGTGCCGAACAGTACCAGTAGCACCTTCAGACCCTATGACAATCGACTCTCGGAGAACATGCCGGATGGATGGTGGGCTTGGGATGTGTTCTGAGTTTGTTCTATGTGGGAGCTAAGCAACATCCGAGGTGACTGGTAGATCCAATGATCTTAAGTGCACTGAGGTCATATCAGTGCCAGGCCTGTTGATTGGGTATATTGAGGTGTCTTCCGCATGTGTCAACCAATTTGGTTGGAAGTGAACACGCCTTCGATATGAATGAAGCCTTGTCGGGCGGGGTGTTTATAGGGTTACCTCTCGTTCTTCAACAACGGAAGAGGCTGGTGCCCTGTGGAAGACCATTTTCTTCTACCAAACAAAATGACGGTTACATCAATGACCATAAGGTGACATCAACAACTCGTTGTTCATGTTCTTAAGGTTCACAAAAATACCTTGTTTGCAATCATGTTGTAGTGGGTCAAAAACCTACAGCCTCCCAGTCACCCCTATTAGGCCCAAAAAGTATATTCGTCGGTAGAAGGATTATTAGAAAGAAATCTATAGGACCGCAGGCTGCAAGCCAATTCTGTTTATATAGGGACCCCCATGGTCCAATGCTAACCATCATCTTCATCTTCCCATATATCATCCTCTCCCTCTTCCCACGCTGCCCTCCGGCTGCCGCATGCCGCACCTGTTCCTTTGGCGCAACACTTGTCATTGTATCAAAGAAGAGCAAACAGGTATATAGATGTTTGGCAGTTACGGATCTGTGCAAATTGGCACCAGTATCCTGTATCCTGTAGCAAAGAACACCACCTGTATCCTGTTCCTCCTCGTCTTCCGGCACCAGTCAATCAGTTCTGTCGATCCGAGGATTGGAAGACCACCTCTTCGTGCAAACGCCCGAGGGCGACGAGGCGTGGAACAGGAACCGGCGTGGGGGACGAAGTGTTTTGAAGCAACCCAGACACTCCATGGAACTGGTATATTTACCTACATTGGGGTGGTTTGAGGGTCAATGTAGGCATACCTAGATTTCTAGGTATATGGCATACATGGAGTGTCTGGGGTCTGATGGCCGTCTGTGGTCTGTGGGGTTCTTCTGGATGGGGAAGGCCGTCGATTTGGGGGAGACCAACCATGTTTTTCACAAGACCCAGACACGACTAATGCGACTGGTATATTGACCGATCAGGCCAGGGGTGGGGCCAGAGGGGTCAATGGGGCGGCATATATGGCAGTCCCATGGAGTGTCTGGGCAAGATACGCGCTTTCACCAAGATGTTCGTTTCATGTTGCCTCTACCAACCTGTGTCTACCAACCTCCAGCAGGATACCATGGATGCGCGGCGTCAACCGACCACCGCCACGTTTTCACTTGCGAACTGTTCGACACTTCGCCCCTCAAAGCCCTTCCACATAGGTGGGGTCACGTTTTCAAAGCTGGCAAGCCATAGGAGCTGGCATCGAATCCCAAGGAGTCCGAGCGGAGCTGCACACACGTGACGCTCCAGGAGCTGCTGGTGAAGGTGCCCTTCGTGTCCCCCGCCAAGGCGCTCGCAGAAGGGGTTGTGCTTTGGAGGGGCCCAAAGAACGGGTTGTCAGAGGTGGTTTTGTAAGGCAGCAAGGGGGAGAAGAGCTTCGGCGGAATGCCTGGTTGGTGTTTCCGTTTTATCATTATTGCTTGTCAACCATTTTTGGCACATTTACTGAATCTTTACATTTCAAACCGTGTTTCTGTGAATGACTACCCCAGTTGAGTTTTATTGTCGGGAAGGGTTTTAACCAGCATCCAGATGTGGTGCTTTTTAAGGGTCTCTTAGCGTCGCTGTGTCCACCGGGATGTGAGGAACTGTTGGGATTGAGGGCGGATCGTGAGGTGCCAAAAACTACATGGCTCCACATGACAGAGACTAGAGTGGAAAACGGCGACCCATTGTTTTTTCTCACAGTCACACGGATTTTGTGACAGGACATGAGAGTGTGACTTGACGGAGATATCAGGGGATGTACAGTACTATGTTTATCTGTGTGTGAGTGACGCAGTTTGTTCCATGGTTGTTGGGTTTGGGAACAGAAGTAGCTGACACAATGTCGGGAGTGGATGAAGCGGTGGAAACAACGTGGAACTTCAACGCTCACGAAGCAGGGATGGCAATCTAAGCCAATATAAGCAAGGACAGCCAGGTTCCAGGGTTGAAGGTAGCCTGAAACCTAACAGTTGACCTTCCATCCTTTGAACAGCGAACTCGTCTCCCCACCAAAATTAAGAACTGTGATGTACCGGTGCAAAGGAGACAATAGCGAGATAGCACTGAACCTCACTGGTAGACCCAAGACGTTCTTGGGCTGCTGAACCAGGTGGGTTGGGTGGTCGTCTAGCCGTGCTTCTTTGAATCTATCCGTGCTTCCCAGTCAGTTTCACCTGGTTTCTACAGTTGCAGGAAGATCCAGCACCGGTCGATCACAGTGTTTCAGGGAAGATGGCACAGCCCCCACCAAAAGGTGGTTTATATGGACCCCATCTAAAAGACATCTTGGAGGTTGTGCCATCTACTCTGAAACCACTGAATACCTTGAGTCATGCTCAAACATCATCTCTCACGACGTCTCTGCAGCCGTTTTCAGGCCGCGTGACGTCGCACCGGGCGCGCGACACGCGTGACGCCTCCCCGGTTTTCGGCCGCTCCGGTGTTTTTTTGGAGCGGGCCCAGTGTGCAACATGGTTTCAGCAAAGGGTGCCAGAAACAGCAGAAAGGTTGAAGCTTTGAATGAAATCTCACGTCACACTGTCACTATAGTGGGGTATCATCGAATCGCACATGGAGAAACAAATCTTGTTTTCGCCGGTAGAGGCCGGCTGGTTTCACGACCAGAACGTCCACCACAACAAGCTCCACCGGCGTTGAACGCCAAGCGCAAGCAGAGCAACATTCGAAGCAGAACAGCAAAAAGTAGAGAGACGCAGGAAGGACAACCATAGGCTCCTGATCGCCATCCCCCCCGCTTGCCACGCGCCGTTTCGCCGCGGCAGCCGGTGAAATGGTTCGGCGCTGGGTCCGGAGTGCAGGTGCGCGGTCTCGCCTCGGAGCCGTCGTTTCACAGCGCACGGGACGCTGGCAGTAGGTTTGGTTGGAGATGTTTGACTTTAGACTTACAAGTTGAAGCTTTTTGAAGAGTTACCTAACCAAATCAAAGGTTCATTTCTTCAGATCATGGATCTTCGCATCCCAAATAGCCACTACCTACTCCGGACTTTGAGCCACCCACCCAGCAACGGGCGATGTCCCAAAACCCGCTTCACCAGGCACCACCGGCCCCACCGGCGGCGAGGGCGCAAAGCCCAAGCCGGCCGCCGAGCGCGTGAACGTGGCGCCTCGGAGGGAAGGTGAAGGATCAACGTCACCGGCGGAGTGGGGACACGTCACCTGGGCGTCACCTGGGGTTCAAGGTCCCGAAACTGGGCGGGTAGCGCAAAGAGTGTATGTGAGTGTTGCCCCAAAAGGGACCGGAACCTACAGTCAGACCGTCAGACCTCTGTATGGCATGTTGTATTACTTTTTTAAACAGGCATATTGGCCGATAGGTTGGATTGGGGGGTTGAAGGTCGGCATATGGGTGTGTGTTTTCATAGGAAGACCCCCCGGTCCTGGCTGGGTAGGCTGGTCTATTTTCCTTCTGAAAAGGGGGTCGAACTGAGAGCTCTCCATATATTTCAATGCTCAACCACATGATGATGACGGAATGTCTCTATGAATGACGCTGAGAGCATTTGTCCAAGCTTTAGACACTTTAAACGTGACCATTGATGGTTGGAGTAGGGCCTAGATTGAAGGAGCAGGATGCAGTGTGCCATCTGGGCCTGGGTTTGTCTTCAGTCATACTACGGCACCGGCACATGTGAAACCGAGGGTGCTTGCGGCGATGGCAATCTCAAAGACTTTTTGACATTTTTAATGCAGCTTTGTTGTTGTTTCTCAAGCCTGGTTGCATCAAACGCCCTACAAGCTCCCAAGTGCCATGCAGCCTCTCATGCCCCGCAGGCTTCTGCGGCATGCTTTTCCATCACCATGCGCAGCCCCTGCCCTAAGCGCCTGGCGCGTGAGCTGTTTTCCACGGACACTGCGTCCCATCACCACGGCGTGGACGGTTGGAGAAAACGAGCTGTGGCGCCTGGTGGAAGAGGCCAGGACACCACCCGTCAGGACAGTCAGGACACCTCAGAGATATAAACCAGGTTCAAGGAAGCTTGGGGATGGCAGCAGTTGCTGGAGATGTCTTGAATGCGGGGTTGAGAAGGTGGCAACAGATTTCTATGTGAGAGCAGGTGGATATGTAAATTCCTATTGCAAAGCTTGTGATACAGTGAGAACTCGTGCATACCAACAAACGTTGCGCGGCAACGCTACCGTGCTTGCTGCGAATGCGAGGCATCGTTCAAAGTTGAAAGGCTGGGTTTGCCATGTAGACACTGAGTTCATTCTTGCCTTAGTCCTCCGTCAACAGGGTAGATGCGCCTACTCTGACGTTGTGATGGAGATGCTACTGCCGCACTCAGACTGGCGGATGTCATTGGAGAGGCTGGACAATGGTATCGGGTATGAAGCCGACAACTGCGCTCTAGTTGCTGCCGAATTCAATACAGGGTCAAGGTTTAGCAAAAGGGTTGCTGTCGATGAGAATTCAGGATCTTCCAAATGGTCGCTGCAAAAGGTTCGAGACTTGCCAGCTCAGCGTCTTCTGACCGTGAATGAGCATCGGTTGCTAGAGTCGATCGAGGCAGCACGTGCACGCCCTCGAGCACTGTTCCAGCCAGATGCATTTGCTGGTCTAGAACATCGATTGCAGGATTTTCCTGGACATTGGAGATGCTCAACGTGTGATCTTTGGAAGCCTGATCACTGCTTCTACTTGAAAGGAGGGATTGATGGCGGCATGCTCACCCAGTGTAAGCAATGTTGTGGTGCTCGGAGACTGTCCTATAGATTGACTTTGCGGGGTCACATCCAGGAGTTGCTGGGAAATGCACGACACAGGCACAAGCACGGCAAGTGGCATGGAGACTTTGAGCTTGATGTGGATGCAGTGCTGGACATGCTGTGGTCTCAGCAAGGGCGGTGTTTCTACTCGGATGTTCCCCTACGTTTTGCGCAGTTGAATGTTGATTGGATGATGTCGCTGGAGCGGCTAGACAACAGCAAGACATACACCAGAGACAACGCAGTTTTGGTGGCGCTTGAGTTCAACACTTCCGATCGCAGTGGATATGCAGTGTCTCCCGTGTTTGGCTCCAGCCAATGGTCCAGGAGTAAGGTGGAACATGTTTGGGGCAGTGTGACAAGCTCGGCCCCACATCACTCCTGCGAGATACCGAGATACAGCCTTGGTCCAAAGTGGCCAAGCAGCCGGAGTGGTGAAATCATGTGAAAAACTGCATTTCTTCTCCACGTGGATTTATGAGTGAAAAGACACCAAAGCATTTGGTTATTTCTGACGAAGCCATAGCGCAGAATTCGAATTGGTGTACCCCAAGTGATCCTTCTTGGCTCCAGTATACAGCAAGAACGGAGCGTTTCCACGGCCTTTCATAAGGTACCTATAATCTTGAGAGGGGAGGGCTCAAGCATTCCTTTCTTCTTGCGCGGTTCCGCTAATTCGAGATTGTAAGTCATGAGCGGGTGAAAGTGCTTTGACCAACTCCGATGGGCTGGTACAGGCCACTGGCATCGGTGAGTGAACTACCCACAAGTATTCTGAGCCCCTATCTTTTTTGATCAAATCCATGCAGTTTTACACTTCTTCATGGTTTCTATATATTTTAGAACTTGTATTTCCTCCAACCGAACTCCATTATTGATCATAAAGCAACGAATGCGAGTATGCATATTACACAAAAAGGTTTGTTTGTTCTTTTACTCCTGTGGCTATTGTAGATCTATATGCTGTTCTAGGCACCTTTGCGCACCTCTCCGTGTCTTCCTCTGCTCTCCCACCCAACTCCGACGATGGGACGCCACGCCGCGCCACGCCGTCGCGGAGTCGGAGCAAGGTGTGGCACAAGTGGTCCGACCTGCGACTGTTGGATCATGAGCCCTTGTGGCACGCCCACCAACGTCCGGAGCCGGCTCCATGACCGCAGAAACGGGGGGACGTGTGGGAAGGATGAGGTGAACGTTCTAGGCCCCAAAAGGGAAGAACATCCTATCTTTTGTTGTTGTACTAGAAACTGTGGTTGATCAATGTTGATCATGGAGACAGATGTTCTTGTTTGGGCTCTCCATTTGGGGAAGTCCTTCAACAAATGCACCTCCTTTTTCATGATTTTTTCAGACCATGTAGTTCCTTTTAAGACCATGCCATGCCATGTCATCATAACAAACGAACGGCCAAGGCAGCGATGTCGACCGCCTGTTGGCCGCTTGCCGAACTGGACGGACCCGTGAGAAGCAGCCAGCAGCCAGCAAGTTCTTTGAACGTGAAACACGTTCGATTTACCTGATCTTGCAGTGGATTGCTGCCCTAAAAACACTCAGCTGTCATTGTACCCCTACCATGAACCTGTTGAAAGACATGCATGGTTAGAACAGGTTATATTAGACTACCTGAGATCCCTATCCTGCCCTTTACAAAAGTGGATAACCTTCCACCCTTGTCGAAGGGATAGAAGTAGGGACACCCCAGTCAAGACCCCACTATATAGGTGGAAAGTTCATTCGGTTGAGCACGGCTCACCTAAAAAACAGATGTATTTCAGGGATCGATGGTGGAGTGCCTGAGACCTGAGATCCCTTTTTGCTTCACTTGCCCAGGTCCTCCACCTTCACCTGGTCGAGCTCCAACTCCTGGCCGGCCACGCGCGCGTGAGCGGCGTGCAGCGCTGCTCGCCGCGGCGGAAAGAGTTCTGGCGCCAGTGCGTGGAGGACGGGAACGTGTCGAGCAAGAAGGGGTGGTTCGGGGATGCAGAGAGGCTCTCATGGGTATACGGTATACACAATAACCTATGCCTGTGACATGACTATTTCAATAGAAATTCGATCTCCAATAGAGCCACGGTCATCTCCAAATGGGTCTCTGAGTTGATGGGCAGGGACCATTTCGCCGAGCTTCTATGGTCTTGTATACCTTGGGCCATACAAAAGAACCGGTAAGGCTCCTCACCATAAAGGTCCAGCTTTTTTTAAAGGTGTTAACAAGGTTCAGATCAATGACACCAAGCCTACTATGACTGAAGGCAGAAGTGCTGCACTACCTTAGACTTAAATGTTCAACAGATTGGATTGTAAGCATGTCCCATGTTGGTTCTGCTGGAGTTCTTCCATTAACAAGATGTTTCTACCCAATGTTCGTTTTTGGATGGTGTTGTTGTGTCTATACTTTCTGTACAGTGATAGCCTATTCAGCTTCCAAATGGATCTAGGGGTTGTTCTCCCACCCCACCCCCCTGTCCTTGGAAAGTTTGTCATGTTTGGAGCAGGTCTCCACCAAGCACCAGAAACGCCTCAGAAATTCTACCTTCCAAAACGACCCGACATGCCTCTTCCATCCTCTTCCCTTGTCCTTATTCTGCTCTTATCAGACGGAATCCTTCTGTGACAAAATGTTCCCAAAGAGTTGTTTGAGGTCCCAGAGGAGCTTACTTTGCAGGAGTTCCTTTCAGCCTGCACGTAAACAACGACTTCGAATCAAAGAAGATTGGCGCTGAGATTCCGGAACCATGGCTGGACGATCCATTTGCAGAAAGATTCGACCATGTCACTTAGAAGATCCATGTCCAAAAGCAGATGGGATCTTGTTGGTTTCTGTGTGTCACTTCAGCTCTTCCTATACGCAGCGGCGTTTGATTGCAGGTCCTTCAGGCCTGATGCCTTTAGGCCACACTGTTGCATCCCAGGTATCCTGCCGTTCGGATCACGTCGCCAGGACCTTTCGGAACGGCTCCAAGAGCGTGGACAACACTTGGCTTCTTGTACTGAGTGATACTGACTGACTGACTGACTGACTGAGACTGACTGACTGACTGACTGACTGAGTGAGTGAGACTGACTGACTGACTGACTGAGACTGAGACTGAGACTGAGACTGAGACTGA